GTTTCCAGGAGCATTCAGAGAATTTAAAACTGCATATCAGTCCCTCTCTATGTAATCATGGGAAGGCAGCAAAAACTAAGATTATCTTGTGTCACTCTCAGATTGCTGGTATTTTGATAGTCAACACTGTTGAGGTGAGTTTCAAAACATCAACATTCAGTGATTTTAGTAAAGTCAAAATTAACACGTATAGTAGCTCCATCAGTAGCTACTGACTCCCTCCTGCTGAGTCTTGGTAGGTTCACCCATTCTGTGTCATATCATATGCTGACTGTTATAGACAAATCACTATCAGTCATCCATCTCATCATTAGCACCTGTACAAACCAGAGAATTTCTTTTGGTTGATTATATTTATAAGAAAATATCTGTATCCTGCACTTTAGCATAGAAGCAAACTCCCAGTATGCTCCAGATGATTTGGTTCATTACATTCTGTGCTGCCATTTCCTGCAGGTACCTGAACATCAGGTAGCACGTCTCTGAAATGAACCAAAACACCACGAAGACGCTCACATTCTGAAACGAAGCATCTTGTAGAGGAGATTTCTAAATAATTTGTGATATTCACATGGGTGATATATTGCTGATGTACATATGCATATAAATAGGTGTAAATGTATTTATATATTTTTTGTCTCAATCTGTATATCTGTTGAATATATTTTCATAGATCCTAGGTCTCCCTCGTACTCCCCTTTGTTTTGACGTGTTTGGGACCTCTGATACTCTCGTCCTTTGTTTACTCGCATGGAGATATTTCAATATAATAAATTATTTATGTTAAAAAAGTCTAATGGGTTTTTAGATGGCACTGGATGTAGTTTGAATTGGATATCCTAGATGACTGCATGCGGCTGCTAACATAGGGTATAAGAAGAGATGAAGAGTGCGAGTGTTTGCAGATGATGTTTCTCTACGTATCCGAGCTTTACCTATTCCTACACAAGAAACTTTTCAACAGAATGGTTTACTTTGTGTTTAGATGTTTCAAATGTACTTTTAGAGATCATTTTGCTACCTGAGCATTAATAAAGTTGTCTTTGCTTAAGGTAACACCATCTGCTGTGTTGTAGTGAGTTTTTGTTGGGCCTGTTAGCTCACACATACATGCAGAAACTCACTACCAATGTCGTTTTTTATTTGTCAGTTCAATTCAGTTCTATTTGTCTGCTGCCAATTTACAACACAAGTCATTTCAGGGCACTTCACATAGTAAGTTGAAGACCTAGCACGACTATATTGTAAAGGCAAACCCAAGTGATTCTTTTTGAGCTGCTCTTTGGTGGAAAAAAAAAAAATAACTCCCCTTTAAAAAGAAGTACCCTCTGCCAGAACCAAGGGCAGCCAGTGGTTGAGGGGAAGGAAAAGGGGAGACAGAAGGACAGCAGAGACGACAAACAGACAAACAATGCATAAGAGAACAATATACAGTTACTGCAGAACAGAAACATGTAGCTCTAGAACCAAAGATTCCTGAAGAGAGAACAAACCACAAACTCCAGGGGCCTCATTTATCATCAGTGCGTTCACATAGATGTGTGTGTAGTGAGTGCGTACGAACATTCCCACGCAAAGTATGGAATTTATCGAGCTGTACTTATGCTTAGGAATGTGCGTAAATATACGCACAACTCTGATCATGCGTACGCACATAATCTAGCAGTAGAACAGTGAAACTACAAATGGAAAGCATTCAGGGATTTTGGAGGTTGGAGATATGCGGCATTTCCCAACCATCACTGAGCAGGATCGTGCCAGCAGTGTTGAATGTCTTAACTCTCCTGGCCCCAGCCTACATCCAGCTCCCTTACAGCCATCACCAATGAACCCAAATCAAACAGGAAATTCATTGCTAGATTCCCAAACATAAGTGGAGCCATAGACTGCACCCACATTGCAATCAAAGCAGCATTACTAAACGCATTTAATTATCCATCCATTATATATACACCACTTAATCCTCAGTAGGGTCGCAGGGGGCTGGAGTCTATCCCAGCTGACTCAGGGTGAAGGCAGGGTTCACCCTGGACAAGTCACCAGTCTATCACAGAGCGACACTTAGAGACAGACAACCAAGCACACTCACATTCACATCTACAGACAATTTAGACAATCACCAATTAACCTCAACATATTTTAGGACCTTGTGGGAGGACGCCAGAGAACCCGGAGAGAACCCACGCTGCACGAGGAGAACATGCAAACTCCACGCAGAAAGATCCAGGTGCCCCCACTGGGATGTGAACCGGCGACCTTCTTGCTGCGAGGCAACAGTGCTACCCACTGCTCCACTTTGCAGCCCACATTTAATCAAGGTAATAGAAAAGGGTTTCATTCAGTCAACATACAAATAATCTGCGATGCACATGTGTTGCTATCCAATGTTGTTGCCCAATGGCCTGGAGGAACGCACGACTCATTCATTGGGCAGAACAGCTCGGTTGCTGCGTCTCTAAGTGGGAGCTGTTGAAGATGGCTGGTTTATTAGTGAGTGTTACAGAGTGTGGAAATGTTTTTGCTGGACTTGTTATGTTATGTACTAAAACATCTCATCTGTAGGTGATCAGGGTTATCCACTGGGTGAAAGCTGGATATTCATTTGCAGTCATTTCTCTTTTATGGGCTGTGACATGTTTTGTGGCACCAAGTTTAACATCAAACCACTTTTAAAATTTCTGCCGGTGATCTGTTCTCTGAGCCAACAGAAATAACTGCACTGGTTATCATGTCTCATGCAGCATTTTTCCTTTTGTTGGTTATCTCAACATTTAATGCACCAAAAGATATTTTCTGGTTTGCTTCAACCTCACTGACAAGGACCTTGATCTCAGTTTAGGAAAAGTTCCTCTTTTTCGCCCTTTTTGCCACCATGATGACGACAGGTGAGGAAAAAATAAATCTTCACTTGCTTTATAAAGAGGCGTGTTGTTGTCATATATGGTTATTTGGAGGCGCTGAAGGCAAAGTGCACGAGCACGGAGGTTAAGAACAAGTGGGATTTATCAACACTGATGACTAACTGATGTGCTGACAACCCACATACGCACATTTGATAAATATAGATTTTGTTGTACTTGTACGCACACACTAAATTTCATTCGTACGACAGAATTTGAAATCTTTTCTACGCACTGATGATAAATGATGCCCCAGGAGGGTAAAGACACAAAGTTATTGAGATGCAATGGTGATGTGTAAATGTATAGAGAGTAGTGGAGAGGTTCCCAGTGCATCATGAGAAGCCTGCAGCAGTATAACTAAATGTTAGGGTCACCTAAACAACTCTAACTATAAACCGTCTGAAAGTTTTAAGCGTAATCTTTAAAGCAGAGAGGGTGTCTCCTGAACCCTCTTGTTCAGGAGTGACTGGAAAATGAAGGTGGACAGACAGCTCGGTGCGGCATCAGCAGTAATGCAGGCGCTGTACCGGACTGTTGTGGTGAAGAGGGAGCTGAGCTGCAAGGCGAACCTCTCAGTTTACCAGTCATCTACGTCCCAACCCTCACCTAAGGTCACGAGCTCTGGGTCGTGACTGAAAGAACGAGATCGCAGATACAAGCGGCGGAAATGCGCTTCCTCCGCAGGGTGGCTGGGCTCAGCCTTAGAGATAAGGTGAGAATCTTAGACATCTCGGAGAAGAGCCACTGCTCCTTCGCATCGAAAGGAGAGGCTTCCTCTGGAGTTTTTCGGAACACGTCTACGTGGGAGGAGACCCTGGGGCAGACCCAGAACCTGCTGGATAGATTATATCTCGCAGCTGACCTGGGAACGCCTCGGGATCCCCCAGGAAGAGCTGGAAAGTATTGCCGAGGGGAGAGTGACCTGAAATGACCTGCTCCACCTGCTGCCTCTGCGACCTGACCAGATAAGCGGAAGAAAATGGATGGATGGATGGATGGATGGATGGAAGGATGGATGGATAGACGGACGGAAGGATGGATGGATGGACGGACGGAAGGATGGATGGATGGATGGACGGACAGACGGATCCTGCAGAGGATAAAGAGGTGTATACATATAGATGGATGAAAAATTCTGAACATGACATTTTCGCAGAAATGTCCAAATAACATAGAAACACAATTTTCATCCCATCTCTAACACAAAGTCTTACTGTGTCTTGTTTCTGTCAGTTTCAGCCAAAAGAAATGTATTGTTAAAAAAAAAAAACAACAACTATGAATCACAATTTGGCATTGATTATTTTGGGCTTAACGATATATAGTAGATTCGTTTAGTCAGTTTCACTGTATTTGATAACCCAGTTTAAACGATTATCTAAAACATGCATGTGTTCCTGTTTTTCATTTTCCTGCTGAGATACTTCATTGCTCCCATGCAGTATTAGGTGTCATACAGTTGTCCTCAGATGTATTCATACCCTTCCATTAAAGAAAAGGCAAAATTCACAATAGTCACTAAAGTAAGTAGAAACTGAAAAAAGTAATAATAAATAAAAATTTACTAAATTATAATTTAGTGAAATAAGACATTGCTTCTGAATTGTGGTTGAAAAGAATAATTAAAATAAAAATTTTTTTAAAAAAAACTGTCCCAGACAATTAGAGCCCTTTGCTGATGAGCAGTGGGCCAAAATCAAAACACCTGTCAACAGGTGCAGAAGTCTGATTGAGAGTTAAGTTACTGCCTCAAAGGGTTGCTCAACAAAATATTAGTTTACGGGTCCCATCATGCTTGTTTGCTTGTTTTTTAATATTTCTGTTGAACCACAACTCAAAAGCAATGTCATGATTTTCATTAAATTTTTTATTTATTATTACTTTTGTCAATTTCAGCTTATTTCAGTGACAGCTGTGTTTTTCCTTCTTTAATGGGAGGCTATGAATACATTTGAGGACGACTGTAAATTCAGGTTCCAGGTAGTTTTGTATGCTGCTGTGAATATGTGACACATGAGCACAACCTAGTGGTCAGAAACTGGTTTAACATGACTTTGGCACCAGCCCTCTGATCAAATACAAGGATACAGTCAGAGATGTAATTCCATTTCCAACATTTATTAAGTGCAAAAGAATATTTATGATATCAATGACAGATGGATGCAAATGACATTGTGACACCACCAAGAATATTTTAGACATGGAAAAGCCGTCTGTGAAAAATCCCCGCACAGAGACATATAAATACTCACTTAGTTAAAGAAAGTTAGATTACAATAACACGGCAGTACGTGTGAATTAAAACTTTGAACACTTGGCTCCCAGAGATATGTAAGATGAGCTCCGTACAGGTTATATACACACCATACACGGCATTAATGCGACTCAACTGACGGCTCTTGCTTTTCCTTCAGCCACGTTACTTTCACTTCTCTCTGCACTGACATCGCCTCACACATGAACATTTCTTCCTTACGCAAAACAGGAATGAATGGAGTGATACAGTTCAGTTTATTCAATAAACAAACAGCACGAGAATTTCATTTTCCAACTACTGAAACTGTTAAAATTCAAGTATTTATGTCAGTATCACACTCAACGCGGATCCGTCTCGGTACTCTTCCCTCTCCTGTTATCGTCACCTAACTTTCTAATATCAGCATGTCTGACTGTGTGGCGCCTCAGACCAGCTTAGAGGTCCACACAACCGTCTTGTAACTGACCATTACATCATCCTTTTTTCTCACCAGGATATAAACCTTTGTCAGTAGTAGTCCTTGTCAAAAGTGAGAAAGGGCAGCCAGCCACTGTTCCTCCATCCCATGTTGTCCATCTAAGTGGAGAAGATAACAAGCAACATCCATCTGGTATCTAACAGTCTTATTCATATCGCCAGGATACTCCGTAAATACATCAACACTGGCAGACGTGCCTGTTTCTGACATTAAACACAAACTACATGCAAGAACAAAATTTCACTACATATTACAATGTTAATCCTTAAGATGATCATAGAAAAGGTTTTATACTGTTTTTTCTTTTTACTAACATCTTTAGCAAAAGTATTGATCCCTGTGTAGGCACTTGTTCTTATTTCAAATTTCAGTGATAATGTTGGGATATTCCTGAAGATATGCAGCTGTATGCACAAGAAACGCTACTTGCTGGAAGGATGAAGTGAAATCTGTTGGTGTTAAAAGTCCAGTTCATGCTTTCTGCATCAGCGAGGGTCCACATGATGTTATCATTCACCCAAGTCTGTGAGGGTCCATACATGTCTGCGTGCAGGCCAAAATATGTGGAATGCATATGTGCAAGGTAAGCTTTTGCGGTATCAAAAAATGCTTGTTTAGAGGAGCAACTGTCTGAGAACCATCCACATTGTTATAATTCATCATTTAAAAAGTTGGAATTGAAGTTGTTGCTGTTGGACTTTGGAGAAACTTTGATCAAGCACAGTGGCAGGTTCTAAAATCTTCAGAACTTCTGTGCTATGTCCACCTACTGTGCTTGACATACCTCAGGAATATTACCTGACACAGTGCTACAGCCATTACAGCGAGTGTCAGACCTACAGCGACCTATTGCAGTATGAATAGAACTACGTCTGCATCAGTTCAGCACGCAGGGATGCAGAAACCATGAACTGGACTCCGCTAGTGTCTAATGTAGCCACAGCACCGATTCAATATTACCTTCTAATGTGGGTCAATAGAGTAAAGAAACCAACATTTCAGTAAGTTACGGCACTTTATAGTGTCTTTTATTGTATATACATGTCCTCTTAATAAGGTTGTTGCTATAAAATGTTTTGTTTCCCCCAAATGACCAGAGGTCCGTTTCACAAAGCAGGTTTAGTGAAACCGGACCCCAGAACTGTTACTTTAAATGGAACCTTTGGAAAAATGACATTGCTATGTGCATGATTCACCACTGGGTGCCACCAAATCCATGGAAACACACAATCAAAAGGATTACTCATTTAAAAACACAAACAACAAGCTAACAGTTTACCAGCAACTGTAAAAAATAAAATTTCCTTCTATCACCTAAATAAACTATATGGATACGTAAAGTGACTGATCAAACGTTAGTCTCATGTGTGTTTGAGATCAGATTTCCCTCCATGTACCCTAAAGGTAGCATCAACAGTGAAGCAGCAGCGTGAAGACAAGCCTGTCAACACTTTCATCTGTGTTTAGACTCTTAGAGCTGTGTTCACTGAAGTGTTGCTCTGATGCCAAATCCAGAAGCAACAAAGTAAAAATAACTGCATCTTTCTCATTTCCTTCCCTCCTTTCTTCTTTTCCTCTTTCAGTCGTGTCTGTCAGACAGAACTTTCCAGTGAGGGGATGTTGACTGAGACAGACGTGTCATCTAAAAGGAGAAGTCAGGCTTTGTAAAGACTGGCACGGCACAGCATGTTGCCCAGCTGAACCCTTTCAACATGTTGCCCCATTTATGGCTCATGAACTGTGTTTGTTAGAGAGAATGGGAGATACTGTGGCAACTGTGAGACAAAGAGTCTGTTCAGGCTTCACTTGCTGCTACAGTCATATGGAGATGGAGCTGCTGTCGAGGTGATTGGGCGGCAGGCTGAAACTCAGGGATGGGCTGAGGCCTAAGCCAACACTGGGTTGGGAAGAGGCGGGTGACAGGTCCGTGTTGAGGACATTCAGGTTGGCCTGAGGGTCAGAGGTCAAGCTGAGGTCATTGAGGTTGGGTGTAGTATCGAGGTGAGCTGACGACTGGGTGCTGCTGTTGGCCACACGGCGGAAAACAAAGTGGAAGGGAGCGGCCTCTGCGCGGCTGTGGAGCTCCGCCTTTATCTTCTGAGGGTGGGTGTCCGGGGCCAGCTGCTGGCTGTTGCCCTCCATCAGCAGGAACAGGCCATAATTCTCAGGGTCGGACACTTTAAACTTGTGGGCGCACAGCTGGCACACCTCCTCCACGGTGGCATAAGGTCGGACCTGCAGAGTCTTGGCAGTGCAGCCGCTGTCGAGCTCTTGCAGCGCCACCCGCAGGTAGTTCTGAGGGACATTCAAGAGGAAACACAGTCAGATACTCTACAGGAGTTCTGTCACACCAGCTGCTAAAGCAAAGACCTGAAGCTGAACTTGCAGCACTTGTTTGAGCAGCCAAGAGGCTAGAAAACCTCCATGTGTTTAGCAGTCGGAAGCTGAACTGTCACAAATAGACAGAAAATAAATGTGAACGACTCTGAAAGTGTCGACACAAAGGAGCTAAGAACAATTTCAAGTAAAAAGCATGGACTGTCTCGAGTGGACTTAAACATTGTGTGGCACTTGGTGTTTCTTTCTTTGAATGCTCCTTTAACGTGGGGTATACGTGTCTATTTGTTATGTATTATATTTCCATCAGGAATTCTGCTGTGCTTCAATTTGTATTCATTAAAAACAGCAGAAATGAAGCATGAACATTTTTAATCAAAGAGTCTCGAAATGCTTTACAATGGAAGAACTGAACTCATTCCAAGACAACTGTAAGAAGTGTTTTAATCTTATGAGCCCAAGTATGCTTTCAGGATCATTTCTTTACCTTTACTTTGAAGCTGTTAATGGCAGGAGAGATTTCTTTTCATGAATGTATTGGGAAGATTGTCTGGAATCTGGCCATATCAGAACCATGATGGTGGGATACTGTATGAATTCAAAATTGTAAAAAGTCTGTGCCTTGGGCCTATGGGAAGCAGGTGTTATTACTTTAATAAGAAGTGTGAAAACAGCTAAAGAAATTAGTGAAAATATCACTTTTCAGATCTGATCTGTCTTCATGATGTCAGTATGCAGGTAACTATGATTCAATTTGATGTAAATATCTATTTTCCCGCCAACACTTACTCACACAGCCGAGCAGCTAGCATTGTTGGAAATGTCAAGTTGTGTAGTTTCATTTCAAGTGATCAACAAAATCAGCCCTGGTGCCAAGATGCAACCTCTGTAAAAATGATCAAAATGTTCCCCTAAAGTGTCCTGTGCAGCTGTTTGTGCTCACCTGGAAGTCATCAATGGACGGTGCAGAGCGCTGGGTGGTGCGTCGACGGTGCCACTGGTGGAGTGTGTCTCTTGTTTCAGAGCTCAGCACTCTGGCTGCCTGCTCCTCCTGGAAGTTCCTGATCAGGGACATTGCTCCATATGCACTGGTCAGGTAGTAGCCACCTGCACAGGCACACACAGAGGGAGAGAATTTACAACACAGAAGCTGTAAGAAGCCTGGTTTCCAAAGGAACTGTGTGGTGTGAATAGATCCCTGGTGAAGGATCTGTAGAATTTACAGCCACCTTCTCCATGGAGCAGTGAGGGGTCCAGAAGCTCCATCATGTAAAGTATCTCATTGTCCAGCTGAGGCATGTCACACTGGGCCAACACGTAGGTCAGCATGGGCAGAAAGTCGTCAGCACCATACAGACGACCTGAGACACACACACACAGCATGATGGTGAAATACACACATTTCATTTCATCATTTAATACATATGAACTGTATGAGCTGACTGAAGGGTGACTCGGTCTCTGTACTGTAGGAAAACAGGACAACTGTCAGGTGTGTACCTGAATTGTCCTCCATGATGGTGTAAATGAGCTTGCAGACCCTCAGCAGCATGGTGACCTTCTTCTCTGGGGAGTACAGTTTACACATGGTGTGGAACTTGTGCTTGATCTTCTCGATGGCCACAGGGTCTGGAGGCAGCGTGTCAGCCACCCCCATTTCCTGCGGATGCCGGGCCTTGGCCAATGACAGGTTCTCCTTCAGCTCCTGCCACGCTCCGCTGCGCACCTGGAACTCTTGCAGGGCTGCGCTTACCACCGGTTTGAGGGGCTTCAGGACACACTTGTGCATGGCCTTTTCCAGGACTCGGTCTGAGAAGAGGACACAGATGAGCATTTTAAGCATAATTACATTTTTGAATGTAACACTGTGAGCTGAGTGGTGCGATGGTACAGAGGTTAGCACAGCAAGAAGGTTCTGAGTTCGTCTGTGTCTATCTGTGTATGCTTTCAGCAGACTTTACAAAAAGCTCACTGGTTCCTATTGAAGACATACATTGTGTTACCTAGTACAGCTAGCCAGGAGGAAACAGCGCATTTGTTTTGAGCTATTTTCCGCAGCAGATGAATCCACCTCTGGGGCTCTACTGAGTGTGTGTAGCAGCAGGCTGACGCGCGTAAGGGAAGTACAATGTATTGTTTCAGCATCAACAATCGTCACAGTTCAATGTGAAGTGAGACAAATTAGCTCAAACACCTCATGGTTTGCATGCAACTTTTATTGCTTCTTTATACAAACAGAAAACTGAAGGAACAAGTCAGCCAGTGCAACAGTGTGGCTCACTGACGTGTGAACGACTGAACTGTCTTTACTGACAAGCTTCTAGTCAAACAGCTGCGAGCAAATATTCTCGCACATGAAGGAAGCGCCCTGCCGCCTATACTTGTTTTATACCTGAACACACGACGAAGGAATCACACAGTACAAGCCTCAGATAACAGCAACTGCAGAAAGCTCCACAGATCACTGTGACTGATCTATTTGGATTCCCATGATTGTGCTGTTGCTGCCTGAGTGCAGAGCGTGGTGTGTATTCACACAGAGACACTGTCAACATCAGCTTTAACAAGCACAGCTCATGCAGTCTGACTAGCACACACCATAATGTCATAATACAGACAGGATGGATGCAGGGAGGGAGGCCAAACCACAGCACTGCTGAATAAGGACCATGTGTGAGGGCCGTCTGTGTGTGTGTTGCTGACTATTCTCCACAATACAGTGAAGTCAGCATTTTCTTTTTTTTTTTTGGCTGAGCACATCTTCAAGCACAGATTTTACTCTCCACCACAGCTGGATAACATCCAGCCTCATAAATCAGTCTCTGTCAGTCCTGTCGTTATAAAATGTTTAGTCCACCCTCCTCCTTCATGTGTCTCTGTGGAAAGTTTCTCCACACCTCCTAATACCTCTGCTGAACCTGCACCAGACAGCAGAGGGTGACACTCATGCCAGCAGCACATTCTCACTTCCTCGTTCCAGCGCTGCTGATTGAGAGCTGCCAGTAAATAGGGTGCCTCATATGCACTGATAGTGTTGTTTTTCTTTTGTTGCTGTTTGTTAAGACATGAATTAGAAGTGAAGACAGACTGGATGTGTTGGTGCTGATACTCTCTTTGCCAGCAACTAATAACATTGCAGGGTGTGACTATATCTCATTTATAAAATATTCAAATGCTTTGATGTACAAAACAGGTCATCTAATTGCATGATGAAAGTGTTATTACAGCTATGTGCGGCTCAAGCTAGATCATGTCAGGCGGAACAAAACTTCTCAGACATTCCCAGAACAAGCTCTGAAATTAAAAAGGTAATTTCCTTGCTGATTCCAGCAAACCCTGCAACAGGTACAAGGAAAAACCAAATGTTTAATGGCAAGTCAGAGGATAGCTGCAAAATGCTGACCATAACTTCAGAAACCACTTCCTTTTAGGTCAAACTTGTTTTCACTATACTACCCAGTGGTGCCAGTTCTTTTTTTGAAGAATTGAGGGTCTTCAAAGGTTTCTTTGTTACTTAAACAGTATATATAGTGAAAATCAATGCGAAAATATGAAAAGAAATAAGGAAAATTCAAGATAAACACATTTGCATTTGAGTTTTATTTGTCAGTGCGACTGTTGCAACTAACAGTGATTTTTATGGTTGACAAACCTCTATTAATAATTTGTTCAATTTAATTGCAGTCTAAACAGTCTAAATGGAAAAGAAATGTAATTTATTGTAAAAGAGAACTGAGAGAAGCAGCCAACCTTTCCTTTAGAAAACTTGGAACCTGCACCAGTTATGCAGATTTGCTTGCAAACAGGACTTACAATGCCAGATGAACAGTACACAGTAAAGCTGTAACGATTAGACACAGAAAATCAATCTGTATTGTTATAAACAAATTATTGTTTTGGTCATTTCTTTGTGCAAAAAATCACAGACAAAGAGCAAAAAACTCATATTTTTGTATAGTCCTTGTAGGCAGTGCAGGTAAAACTGGTAATTTGGTTGGTGTTCTTTATTTCTCAATACTTGAAGAGCTCAGCACTCACTATACTCCCTGCAGCTCTGCTGAAGTGATTAAAAATAGGGAGCGCAAGGCCAACATTTCTTACTGTGGGCATTCAGTTGAGACTTGTGTTCAAGTCATTCTACAGGGGGGATGTGTCCACATTTACAGACACACTAATTGGGCTTCTCAAAGCAAAGCTGTGTGCCTACAAGCTTGTTAAAGTGTGAGCACATTTTTCCTGTGGTCAGATGTTTTTCACACTTCAGAGGAAAAGCCATGAGTTTGACCTCTCAATGCTTTAAAAAAAAATAAAAAAATAAATCCTGTGTTGGATTCTAAGTGAATTCATGCACCTAGCTAACGTGGAATAGTGAGTGCAGGATCCAAATGAGTCACACTCGCCCCTGTGCTGTATCTCAGACAGTAAAAAAACACACTGGAGTCAGTTTTCCTGAGGACATGTTATCAGTTAAGGACAATCTCACACACGCAACACACACGCAACACACACACAACACACACACACACACAACACACACACACACACACACTTTGCCACTAACCAAGGGCCTCTTCCCACCTGATATAAACATCCTCTCAACAAACATCCTCTCTTTCCTCTTCCAGTCTTAACCAATCACCTTGTCCTGGAAAACTGAACAATGAAATGTAACACAGAAGTGAAGTCTCTATACGTTTTGTCTTACAGCCAGTTGCAAACCTGAAGGATTTCTGTGTGGCCCAGGACTTTTACATGACAGACACCAAACTTTCAGAGCAGCACATGTGAAGTTTTAGGAACTTTACAGTTGCAGTCACCAGGTCACTGTGATCACCTGTTGGCCAACACTTACAGCGGACAGTGAAAACATATCAAACACACACTAATGCAGAGCAACACTCACACACAATGACATGTAGACAATGTGACTGAGTCTCCTTGAAGAGAAAATAGCTCTGTGCAATCAGGAGAAGCGACTTTATCTGTCCTGTCACTGGACCAAGTGATTGCGTACTTCCTTCTTGATAATCCATTAAAATAGCTTTTGTACCAACCCTAGTCCTATTAATAATGTTTCTTTGTATTTAGGGTCCGACCATCAAGTGGTGCAAAGGCCTTTTTTATTTATATGGATTATGATTATTGTTATTACCCCTACAAACTTTAGTTACAGCCCTCACATTACGTTTCACCTACATGGATGACATTTTAATTTTGAAGATATATGTGTCCATGTGTGTACAATATTTGCACAGTTTTTGCCATTTGCAGCCCTTGTTCTTAAACTCAAGGGCATGAACTCCTCGTGAATTGTTTACAGGAACTTCTAATTAATCAGGTGTCATCCAAAGTTATTAAAATTGTGATTTTTTTTTCATCGAAAGCTGTGACAATGTGGCAAATGTTGATGTTTTACTAGCAGGCTACTGGCTCCAACTTTATAATCAAGCACTGGATATAACAGTGGTGTGCTATCCCCAAAGGAAAAACATGATGACGTTCTTATATTTGTGTACCAGAACCCTTTACTCATTTTCAGATTGAGGCTAATATGTCAGACCCTGTAACGTAAATACAAGAAACTCCCAGGTCTCATCCAGCTGCTCATGTTATTATAACACAGAGACACTTTGTGAAACACCACAAACAGAGCTTCATGACGTCTAGTTGGCTGAAGCTATTTGTTGGAGGAGAGCCTCTCTGTGTGGGTTGAGTGGAATACAACGGACTCCATTCTGCCCCCGCCCCCTCTCCTCGCCCCGCCTGAACATCCTGAACCTAAACACAAACATGGCTGGGTTGCAGAGTGAGTGCGAGACAGCAACAACAACAACAAAATCACCTTCCATATCTGAAACTCTGTGGGGCTTTTTTTCCTGAAAAGCTGTGGTCCATTCACTTCAACATCGACGTCCAGATGTTATGTATTATTATGTTGGTATTACTTTGCTAAGGTTGCTTTACATTTTTTGGTGTTTAAGGTGGTATTTCTGTTAAGTGTCTCACTCAGCCATTACTGACTAACATTAAATATTGCATAAAAGAACTAATAACCAAAACACTGGCAATTTAAAAAAGGGAGAGAGTGAAAAGATGTGGAGTGTCAGAGGGACACAGTGTAAGGCAGCATGGAGTGGGGGCTTGTCCCTAATCCTCTCGCTCTGATTGGAGAGTTGGTATAAAAGAAGTGAAGTTGGAGTAAGATAGAGATTGCATGACTTGGCAGATAGCCACCTAGATGCATCTGGGCCGGCCGGCCTGCCTTTCAGCGGGACAGAAAACTCTCTGAAGCTGCCACAGCAAAATATTGTGCAACTATTCCAAGAAGTAGCAGCTCCCAGTGTGAAAAACAAGCCATTCAGAAAACAGGCACGAGAGGGGGCCACAATATACCACATACAAACATGAGAAAAACACAACTGCCTTTCAGTTTTAATTTAGCTCCTCTAGACATGGAATGCTAAATAAAAAGAAAAATTCAATAAAGATCTCCACTGAAAGAAAAGCCTTATGTCTAGGAATGGTCCTAATCCATGTCGAGGAAACTGGCTGACAATCTTTGACAATCTGTTTTTCACAGTATTATTGTTGAGGGCAGTGTGTGCCTTAATTAGACTTCCACAAATAGAGAGATCACACCCAGGTGCCCTAATTGATCGATATAAATATTTTTGAAATAACTTACTTTGTCTGTCGAACCGGTTTTCATTTATTTTCCGGAACTCCCAAATGCTGCAGCCATAAACAAAGCGTAATTTCTTCCCTGCTAAAGACCTTTCCCACAACGCAGCCTTAAAGCTTTACATATTAAAGCTGTGTTACGTCAGTTAGGATGCACCAAAACATTTTTGGGTGTAGAAGTGTACTCAAGTATGTCTCTTTGTCCAAAGCAATGCTCATAATAAAAGCAGCAGAGGCTGAGGTAGTCTGAAGATTCCACAGTTCCAACAACACAAACAGATATATTCTGTCATTATCAGGTTGCAATGCCGCCTCTCCATGAAGGATTTTAAGTCAGGTGGTGAAAATATAGATGATGTCATGGCAAACTCGCAGTTAATTTTTTTAGACTTTGGAAGGAGACATTATTTTTACTGTCTCCAGAGGCTGAGTAGTACTTTAAAAAAATGCATTTTCAAATAAGCTTAGTAGAAACATCATCTTTCTAACTGCTAACAACTCCTACATAAATAGCAATGAAATGTACAATGTCAGCACTCAAGATGGGGTTTCATGCTGTGTGATGACTGCTGTTCTTCACCCATTTCATGACTTCATAATTGTAGCCATTTGCTGGACTATTTGAACGAGGCCAGTAGAAACAGGTTGGTTGAAGAGCCTCCTTCCTCCTGAGATAAAACCCTCTTTGTGCTCTCTGTTTACATGTTACTCTGTCCAAGGTCTAATGCAGCCACTGAATCTTGGCCTAAATGATTCAGAGCGCTCTTCCGGCAGGTGTGTGTGTGTGATCTTGTGTATCTATGAGGTTGTGTCTCGTTCTCCTTTTTCATGCTGCTTTCATGTCATTGTAAGATGCAATAAAAGATGGATATAATAAAGGACAATAGGAGCGATATCATTGGTCTACAGAAGAGTCGCACGCCGTTTCAAAAAGTACAATTGGTTTGACTCCATGATCACCTGTCCTTACTTTGTGTTTCAAATAGCTACATCCCAGCAGACATGATAACTTATAATCAGCGTACTGACCGAACTTCACCAGACATGTATACATACACAAACACACATGTTCACATCCAGCGGCTAACACGTGAGGACAAGTTTTCCAAAGCCTTCAAAACTAAAATATAGAAGTGAAACTGCTGCATTTGCATTAAACATGGTCTCTGTGACACAGTGTTTCCACAACAGTTGGGATTTATCACTCATTCACATTTCCCAAAAATAACCACAAGATTATTTGCAAGCACAACAGAAATGATGCTCACCACACTCCCTGTACAGATGACAATGAGCTCATAATGCTTAAAATGCAGAAATGTTGCAGCTGAGTAGTCCTGCTATCAGCACTGGTCTAAACAGGACTCAGGACCAAACTTTTTGGCACAATTACTGTAATTAAAGCATTTAGCAGAAATTGTTTTCCAGAGTGAGGTAACAGTTACATTTGCGGTGTAAAGGCTTTGCTCATAAAACTAGTAGAATAGCACAGGTGAGAGAACAGACAGATGCTCAGATGGTATAAGATGGAGAAACTCGGTATTCTAAACTCACCAATCTGGTCTTCGGGGATGAGGCTCTCAATTGGTGGCTCCATCTCAGAGCTCTGTCGCAAGTAGCTCTTCATTTGAGTGATAAACTGCCGGAGAGTCTGTAGCAGCTCCAGTCCAGAGGCATATCCCTGCCAGGCCTGGGTGCCAGCACCCTCGCCCATGTAGCTCACATAGTCCTGCACCAGGGAGCCAAAGTAGGAACCTTTATCCCTTGACAACTCCAGCACCCTGCGGATCGCTCTCTTCTCAGGTGTCAGCAGCGAATTGAAAACGCCGCTCATCTTGCGCAGATGTCCTCGTAGGGCCTTCTGGAGGACCAAGGCGCTGGCACTGGGACGACGCTTCGTGCGGTGCCCAGGTGGCACCATGGTTAGGTCCTGGTCTTGGTCCTGATCGCTCTCGAGGCTGACGCCATAGTCGGGTTCCTCTTCATCTTCGTCCTCCTCATCATCATCATCTTCCTCCATGCCGCAGTAGGACAGGTGGGATTGTGGGAGCGAGAGGGGGAGGTGGGTGTTAAAGTCAGCCACAGTGGGGGGGCTGGGGTCATGCAGAGGAGGAATAAAAAAGGCAGAGGACTGAGAGAAATCCAGAGAGTCCGAGGAATCTGTGGAAAGGCTCATGTCACTCAGCCGCTGGCCGCCCCCGCTACATTCCTCACCGGCTTCTTCATTTCCACCTGCCTTGCTCACTGTCATTAGCGAGGGGTCTGGAGGACTGCAGGAGTCCTGAGTGGAGGCTCTGGTAGAATTTTGCTGAGACAATTTGGCCCTAATGAGGGCCTTCGCAATAGTATCGTCTTCCAGCGCCAAATGGCACTGGGCATCCTCTTGGCTGGATGATGGGGAGGCTTTGGATCGACGTGGAGAGGAGGACAGAGATGACAGGGACAGGGGCAGGGATCGGCGGGGGATAGAAATGGGGGAACTGATGCTGAGTCTCTTAGGAGGGGAGGATGAGGGGCTGATGCTTAGTGAGGAGCCAAGACGAGGAAAAAGGCGGCTGCCCCTCTCCCTCTCCTCCACCTTCTCCTTGGGGACATTGATCCAGGAGATCTTCTCTGGCATACTGCGCTGTCGGACAGGAGGGGCTGAGCGCTGCAGGGCAAATCGAGGCGGAGGTGGACGAGGTGGTGGGGACCGAGGCACACCTTCTGTAGCACTTAGCTTCTGACTGCTGCTGGTTTGTCCGTTATTGTCTTGTAGCTCTGTGTTTCCAGGACTGTGCAGTTTTCTTTGACTTGACGGGCTGCTGTCTATGTGATCTGAGCTACACACCTGAGAACGGTCACTACAGGAGTGCAGAGTTTCCTTCGTGGTGGTTTCTGTGTTGCTGGATTCCTCCCTGAGGCCCTGCTTTGCTGTGGTGCTCTGGTCACCACCATCTGTCTGGTGAACCTTAATGAAGAGGGGGTTGATGAAGCACAGTGCTCCGTTGGACTGACAACACTCAAGCTCAGACGGGGTGCGTGTTCGAAGCCGAGGGCACCCAGGGGCAGCTGCCAAGGAGACAGGTCTCTGGGTAGGTGGGGGAGGTCGATCAGGAGCTGCTGTCAATGACACTGAGCCCTTCCTCCTGTGGCACAACTGAGCGTCCCAGAAGCCTGTGAGAGACAGTAAGAAGAAGATATTGCATTTACATTTAGTGTGTAGGATTTGACAGAACCCAAATTCATTCATTTTCTAAATATCTTATCTCAGGGCCATTATCTATACAACTTGGTCGTATGTGGATTGAAACCAATATTAGTGTAGCCTGGACCACAGATTTAGCAGCTGCCTTTCCACAAGCTCTGAGACAAAGCTCCAGGAGAACAGCAACGAGAGGTGCAACAGGTAAGCCAAATGCCCTAAACAAATAGTCCAATATGGTCTGACCATTGCCTATGAGGAACACAACTGTTCCAGCCTGAAACTTTGGATGCATCACTTATTAACGGCCAGTAAAACAATGACATTGACCCACAAGTAGGATAAATCCCCTACTGAGGTTACAGCAACCTCAAATGAGTAGAAGTGATTTTAGAAACAGTGTCACCACTGCTGGAAGACATTTGGCTTGAGCCACTGAATATTCCAGCTCATTTGTGATGGCATCAGCAAAGTATGTCAATTACTGCATCTGCAGAATCAGACAGAACCGTATGCCACAGAAACGTTTTCCTTCACATACACAGTTGTGGAATTAAGTTGAAACAATACAGACATACAGCCTCTTAGTATGGAAGGTAACTGGTTTGAATTTTTCAAGAGATATGTTTTTTTTTTTTTTTCTCCCTTGGTAGCAAAAATATTAAAAATGACCCCAAACCTCCATTACACCCCTACCTACACTGACAAAATCCGCTCTCAGCCATTTCTCCTGCTGTTTAATTAGGGCCTGACACTTTTAAGACTTAAATCAAACAGTACAAAGAGTAGCATAAAAAAAAACAATCAGCAAAATGCTTCACAGCACTCTAACTCTATCCCAATACAAGTCCTGGAATGTCAACGAATTCCACCAAAAAACTAAAATGTAGCTTTGTGCAGACTGACTTCTGTCAGGGAACCTTTCTAGTGTAAGTCGTACCAGACGGAGCAAAATCAAGACAAACAGAGCAGTGGAAACAACAGCACATGAGGAATACTAGTGCCAGACACAGTGCAGCTCCTTCACACAACCACGCAGCAGAAAAGAGGGCAACAATACTTACTGTGATCCCAAAGCTGAATGACAAAGATGAGCTGTTGAACTCCCGCTCAGTCTAATTCTCTTTGTGATGCAGAAGACACACTGCTGTGTCTCCGCAAGCTGAAACTCCACTAGTTTCTGTGGCTCGCTTACACTCAGTCTGTGTTGTGACTCACTCATGTTAATGAGTGTGTGGGCGGGCTGTTAGCCGTTAGTCTCCGCCTCCCTCTCTTTCACGAGAAGTTGAGAGATCAGTCTCTTTGACAAACAGAGACAATTTTTTTTGTATTACCCTCCTACTCTACTCATGTTTTTTTTCTATTTGCTATTAATATCTTTTGTTTTTGATGTTACATGCTCTGACTGTGTTACTGTTTTCACCACCTCCCTGCATGCAGTATTGTTAATTCTGCTCGCTTAAGCTGTTCACACTTGGTTTTACTGACACCTTTACTTTGGAAGATAATTATCACTCTGAAATACAACCAGTGCGTGCACACACACACACACATACACACTGACACACTGTAGTCAGAACAAGGAGGAATGTGGTTTGGCGTGGTTGATGAAAGAACCGGGAAAGTCAAGGGCATTTTGCACAGACGTTTGACAGCTGAACTGGAGCCAAAAATAGACTGACCTAGCATACTGCACTGAGGTCAATCACTGTAGTTTTTTCAGAGCTGGGAATATTTCCGTTCCCAGGAGGCAGATCAAACATACACTTTCTAGTGTCACTATAAGCATAGATGTAGCTTGAATGCCATGCCAGAGAACCAGAGACTAAACAAGCTGATCAAGAAAGCTGGTTCTGTGCTGGGGATAACTCTGGAACCACTGGAGCTGATTGTTCAAAAAAAGAATGCTGCACAAGATGATGAAGATGATGGAGGATTCTTCCCACCCTCTCCACAACACAGTGAAGAATCAACAGAGTGTGTTCAGTGGGAGGCTGCGTCAGTTTCGCTGTAGAATGGAGAGATACAGAAATTCATTCCTGCCCACAGCCATCACCTTGAAGAACAAGTCTGACTGACTGACTGATTATTATTGTTGTATATATATGTTATATTGATAAAAAAAAAATAAAAAAAATTAAAAAGTGAGCTTTTTACAATATTGAATTTCCCTTCTGGGATAAATAAAGTATTTTTCATTCATTTCATTTCATTTCATGCCACATCCCTATAACCAGGCTTTGCAGTGCAGGAGAAATGTTCAGACCAAATCCTAATTATCAGTATTAGGGCCGATCAGGGCATATTTTAATAAACCAGTATCAGTAAATGAAAGGAGATCACAATCTGATTCTTTCTTTACATGGGTGCTGGTTTTGTATCATGGCTTTGACAGCCCACAGTTCATATGCAAGTGGATCAAGTCTTTCCTAACTTACTATTACCTTTAGCATTTGGATAAAGTAGTGTGTGAAAAATAAAGTGTGTCTGACTTTACAGACCAAAGCTTATCTCAGAGGTTCAGCTTCGTAGCTGAAAAGCAAATAATCTTGGCTGATTTATTGCTGAACCTATCAGTTTTGTGTCAGACTGGTAAACTATAAAACAAGCTTTAAAAGAAAGGCATCAAGAAAAACAGTATGTGGTTTAAATGGTTTGTTCTTGTTAGACTTTCAGAGATAAGGAAAACCCACAGCAGAACAAAGTACTGTAGATCTTAACACTGTCACGTGCAGGTACTCGTTACTGCTAATATACCTGCAGAGAAAAATATTGAGATTTGAGCCAGAAGTTTTGAGGAATAAGCCCATTTCTCCAACACTTAAACCAGAGATTTGGCCAAACCAGGTCAAACTGACACGAATCATCAACTTATCAAACATCTGACTGAAAAGATGAGTTGCAAAAAGCAGCTTACAAGCAGTTTGGTAGCTGCATTTACTTTATGTATTTGTTTTACAAAAACAAGATATAATAGATGGGAAGCTGGGGTAAGTGGGTTAGGTTTTCCCAACCTAAGTCAAAGACACTGACCAAGGAATTGTATTCAGTGTGGACCAGTCACATCTGAAGTTTAATTTTATCTCAAGTTTCTCCAGGGCTTCACATACTTTATACTGCACTCCTTTCAATTACTATGTCAGTAACTAGGCGTGTTGGCTTCTACTTTATCCATAAAAGCCACAATGCCTATCTTACTAGGTCAGACCTAGAAATTTTCATATTATTTGCAACACAGCACAAGTCTGAACTTCATGCAGTCACACTAACAGATACACATTCACATGCGGTAGTGCTTTGAGTTGTGTGAAGTGATTTGTGGGAGACTTTTTCCACATTTCAGCACAAATATTGCTCCGAAAACATCACAGAGAGCAAAGGTTTGTTGCAAAACACTTTTTTTCCCCAATCACTTTGCTGTACAATCGATAACAAACTGAAAGAGCCATAAATAGAAAACTTTACTGTGATGAAGACAAAGACTAACAGGTCAGATTAATGAGGCTGATTAGGGATGAATGTAGGTTTTAACTAAATGTACGCAGGAGCTGAAGTTCAGTTTGTTCCTTCCAGCTGTTTGCAGGAGTCTTTCCTCTGAAATGAACAAATACCTGCCGAACAACAAGGGATCCTTATCAGTGTCCTCATTGTGAGATAGCTGCATGCTTTTACACACACGGAACAGCAGTAATAACTTCATTAATTACTTACAATTGTAAGCTATCTCGACATGCAGACAGGGTGAATCAGGGTCTAACAGTAAGGCACACTGTAGACCTTTTATCACTGCTGACAGGTAAGCCGTCACACAGAGCACGCGCAGTTTATAAACTTAGACTTAGTCTTTTGTTCAATTTGCATTGTTTTGCATTCAAAACTTGATGTACTGTGGCTCACTATGACTGTGGTGGGTATGTTTGAATGAAGCTGTGAGGAAGTGTCCTACAGTTGTGAAGAAAAGTTAAAATACACTTGTAAAGATCACGTGTATCACGGCAGTCTTGAGTTTCCAGTGACTCCTATTAGACCCACATACTTTGCATTTGGGTGTCCTCACAGATTCAATAACTCTTCTGGAAATATGACAAAAAACAAAACAAAACATGCATGTGTTTGAAAGACTCCATCATAAAATTGGAAGTTATAAGAATCATAGGAAACTCAACATATACATGGTCTTCACAAGTGTATATAAGCTTTTGCTCAAAACTGTGTGTCTGAATAACACAATGCCATCAATCCGACAGATTAAGTAGAAAAGTTACATATCCCATGTCTGAAAAGGGCTTAAGTAGTTTTAACTTTAAACGAGATACCTGCAAAACTGTATGTAAACATCAACAAGGCGGCAAACTGTTTCCTGAACCAAAGTGTCATTACAGGTGGAGCAGTAACATGATACTGACATGATAAAGACATCAGAGTCACTGTTTACTCAGATTTACCAGCCATTTCCGTATCAGCAACAAAGACAACACCCATGCACACACACACACACAATACTGTTTGTATGTACATGTACGTCAGTACTGCTTCTACATCATTCATTCACTGTCGCTCAGCGGAGGGGGTGTTTGTCTGGAGATAATCCGACACCACATTAAAGGAAGAATGCCATCGAATCATTGTGTGTCACACTGAACTCTTAAAGAAGTTGTCAGGTGGAAGACTGCCCTCAGTACAAAAGACGGCTCAGAGCTGAGTAACAGCAGCAGAGCCTGAATGGACACCAATGTCACTGTGAGTGGGTTGTGAAAAGGGCAGATAATTCCACCCACACCTACGCAGTTTTAAATCCCTATTTTTTTTCTCAGCTAAATTTAGCAAACAACATAACGTGCAAAGTTAAGATGAAGCAGACAACTGAAGAAAAACATAGAAAATTAGTAAGTAATGATATATATTTTAAAAAACAAAACGAAAAAAATATTGTCTTTAGGTTGTGAAAAGCCAAAATTCCCAACTTCTCTGGAAGGGAGTATTGCACATCCTCCAGAGGCACCCAGCTCTTGCCTCTTGTCTGAATCTATGCCCAGTGGAACAGCACTGATCTGGGCCGGGAAGAGGTATTTGCCCTGGGGGGTGAGTCATTTAGCGCCAACATGCCAGTTAACCCTTTCAGCGCTTGGGTATGTGGTCAAGATGGGTTTTATGTGTGTCATGCCTCAGAAGGGGAAAACAGAATTGCCTATGTTTTTGTACACAACAGATGGGATGAGGGAAAACACTACTCTTCAGAGTCAGAAAGAGGTTAAAGAAAGGTACACAAACATGTTTGGCTGGTATCAATCTGATGCAATGTTACCAAAAAATTTCTTCGAACTGACATAAGAATTGATACAAAAGATTTCTAATAAACCCAACACAACACGAGGCAGTAACACCACACCTCTCCATGCATGACCTACTATATATCCTTAGATTTTCAGATATTAAATGAGATGATCTTCTTGGTGGAGATCCCTCTCCCGTAATTTCTCTGAGAGCTTATTCACTATTCAATGTGGGAACAGCTAATAATGTACACTCCTGCTACAGAGACGACAATACACATACTATGCTCTCACACATTTCAGTTCATTTGTGTGAACTGTAAATGTTATCAGCCAAATGTGCAGTATTTCTGGTGGGATAAAAGGAATCACTTGCTGCATGAGATTAGACTTCAATGCATGTCTGTCCCCCAAGCATATACAGTACATAAACTGGAGAACAAACCTGCTCCAAGTTTAGCAACCTCCTCAAGATCAGCAAACGTTTTGGCTGAAGCGATGGCCTCTGGGAGCTTCAGTGTAAAAGGTAACACATCCCTAAGAAAAAGAGAAACGGACAAGTGAGAGGGACAGAGACAAAGGAAAGGAAAAGTGAGGGAAAGAGGGCGGGATTGAAAGCGTATTCCTAAAAGCATGAGTCACTGTGTTGGAACAGAGGCTCGGCCAGGGCGTGTGGAGTTGGTTGGACTGTGGATTTAACCACAGAGCCGAAGGGTAATGTGTGCCTGCTGCTCTCCTCCTCTGGCGCTTTTACAAGACCTTCCAAAGGTTTTAACACAGTTTCCAAAGGTTTCAGTCTGACCTGAGTGATCAAAGCTAAAAATTAGACCTACCGATTTCAGAACAGTATTTATCTCCCAGAGAAACATGAACACTTTAAACGCAATACATGATTGTAGCTGTTTGATTACGGTGAACAAGACTATCACAGGTACATGTGACACGTAAAGTTTGAGTACACATAAACTGGAAACTAAGCAGTTTCATATGTGTGGTTCCCTGTTTTGTTAAGTCTCGTGCGCATACACTTGAGTGATGCAATCACTTTTCCGCTGGTCTACAGTTGGCACACAGCAATAAACACAATCGTGCAATAGCAAAGAAAGTGCAGAAGAAGACAGCTAAGTAATACAATAACAAACAACACACGACTTATGGGAAGGAAAGTGATTCATCTCATTTGTTAGGGTCTAATTCAATAAATGAAATTACTACGGCACAGAATAAAAATGTACTCTTCAGTACCCTTCTAACTGTGATTATGTCATGACAGTAAGTTGGTATGTGATAAAGTTCTGTCATCTGATGACAGAGTGCACAGTACTGAAGGAACCTCAGTAGCTTTATTTATACTGTTGAAATCAGAGATGGGAACAAAGGGTAAAGATCGCAATGGAACAGTTATGCAGCGGTCATGTACTTCTATTTTAACAATGCATCAACCTAAAAATGCATCAGTGCTTCCTTGTTAGATGTGATTAAAAATGGAATGTTTCATAGAATGTTTTTCCAGTCCTTGACACTTCCTTCATTGCTTTTGTTGTGACTTGTGACATTTCTATGTAGTGTTTCACTCTGTTCCAGCTTGTACAGTCTGAGTAATCTTCTGTAAAACAAGATTGTCGCAACGTAATGCATTACACTTAATATACTTCTCTTTATGGTACTTAGTACCCCATTTTGGATATGAAACAAACATTTTTGGAACTTAAATGCAGTTAGACACAAGCAACAATTCAGTTTGGTTAACAGAAGAAGAAGAAAAATTAAAGGAGCAAATTTGGCCTAAATGCTCAATCAACCTGTCAAATTTAGGAGCAAGCATAGACAGGCACAGATAAATCAAGACTCAGTGTTCAGTGTTCAAGGTTTCTGTAATCTCGAGTAATTCTGACAGTGGAACTCACCTGCTGATGCAGCAGAAAGCCATGAGGCGGAAAAGGTCTGCGAAGCTCAGGCCTGATCCCTCCAAAGAGAAAGCTGGAGGAACATAAAACAACATGATCAACACACTATAGCAAACTGTCAGGAGGGAAAACATTAGAAAGACCGCTCAGTCTGGCCGTTACTTTAATCTGGTTCAAAGAGCTGATTTTACATTTCTCATGTTTAAACGTATTTCACTGGAAAAGAAAAAAGAGGGCTTAGCTGGGAAACATGGACAAATGCCAGAGCCAAGTTGAAACCAGTGCATGCAAAATAGTGGTTTAGTTTATCTTTCAAATCCCTTCATTAAATGGAATTTCCCTTAAGGATAAAAATAAAAAATGCATCGGTACTGTAATAGTCACATAAATAATAGCAACAAACAGCAACAAGAATGACTCTGGCAGCAACCACTTACCTTATACAAACTTTTTATATTTTTTTATTATTGCTTATAAATTTGTAACAGTACACTGCTGAAAACCCAAAGGGACCTCTGCACACATGTTGTCAAAGCTACACTGAAAAAAAACATGCCTGTTTACAACCTGACACACAGTTAATGCTTCTAGCACTTAACAAAAGGTGGCCAACATGTGAGTATGGTAAACAAGGGGTTAATCAGTGAGAACTGAGATGCAGAGAGAAAAAGACAACAACACATGTCTACACTCTGGAAAAAAGAGAAGTGGGTCAAATCCAAACATATGGCACATGGCAGCCTGCCCACAACTTACAACTGTCCTCATCTGCTGTGTGTTAAGTCTCCTTTGAGCTCCAACAATCATAGTTTGTCTTGACTTTGACAGATGAAAATGATCGTCATTGTTATAAGCTGAGTGTCGTTGTATTTTACGTTTAGACCGCATTGAATTCACATGCATCCCTTAGTACATTTAATTCATTGACACTTTGAGAAAATAATACAATTACCAAACAGGCAAGAAGAAGAGAGATAACTGAGGAACAGCTGTAGTGGTATGGATTTATGTCAAGTAAGCTGAATGGCATAGGGGCATATTTCAAAAGCCTTTTCCAGACATGGGGTGCGTAATATTTCTGCTTGATTAATCTGTTAAAGTGACACCATTTAGACACAGGTCCTTTTACATTAGTCTCACTTCACCAGCCCATTAGAACAAAGTGCTTAAGGAGAAAAAAACACTCCAGCTAGTCTGTTTTTTTTTTATAGTGACAGGTGGAACTGTTTTGGTGGAACACTTTATGTAGGCAGATGAGGACTGTCAGGATAATCCACAGAGAAAAACTTACAGGGCTGCCCTACTTGAATTTTGCAGTGTGGTAGGTTGTTTTCCGTACGAGAAGAAAACTGCAACACTCAGGTAGTGGAAAGGAAGGACAAAAGTGCCTGAAATGAACAGTCAGTGGCAGGCTTATATGGGGTACTTCAAAAAGTTCTTGGCTTTACCGAGAAACAAGGGGCATAACTCCCACTTTGGGGCATAACTGTTTACTATAAAGCCTTATATTACTATCCACAAAAACTCAAATGTTAGTCATTGTATTTGTGGTTCGTAGTGACTTTCCTGAGTTGTTCAAGTCAATGATTTGCTTTTTCAGCTCTTTGCTGAGCTCCTCAGACTTTCCCACTGTAGTGTTTGTGGCTGAGTCTATTAAGTGTATCAAATGGGCCCTATTTAATTTGGCTCAGAGGAGTCAGCTGTAATCGCTGATGACAAGTTAGGAGGCCATGCAGGTAAGAATGCTGGATTAACACAGCTCTATACATCACCAAAACTGGCTCATGGGATTTAATGATTCTCTCATAGAGTTACAGGAGTCATTGGAAACTCAAGGCTGCAATGACATACATGTTCTTGACAAGTTTATGCAAACTTGTGTTTATGACTGCAACCTCAAATTCAGATAAGGTTAAATCAATACCCATCCAAAGAAAACAATTACTGAAACAAATGAAAAAAAAAACCATAAAGCTTATATTCTCCTCCTACATAGCTTCACCTGAAAATCAAACTAAGGCTCATCCAGCAGATTTCCAATATGGAAGAATTTATATGTACACTTCTGAATACTTAAGGTTTAAAGTTACAAGTAATTCAGGGCCTCCAGAAATCTAACTGTAATAAAGGGGGCATCCTTAACAACAGCAGTCAGGTCTTGCATTTACATGGTTGTCTGTACGATAAAAAGTGCTGAAAACTCGCTGAATTATTACAATGTCAATGCTCTGTGGGGGACAGATTTTCTCTCTCTCTGTGAATTGACCTCTGTATGTGTTGCCTTTGTTCCTTGTTCACAGGTGAAAAGATGCCATTGAATTTTCAGTCTACACCTTTTACCGGCAGTCAGCAAAAAGGTAAAAAAAAAAAAAAAAAAAAAGAAGAGCAAGCGCCCAGACCCCAAAACAAAAAAAAACCCTTTCCTCTCTCTAGGTAAGCATTTGGAAATTCCAGTCTAGTGCTGACAGACAGAAACGAAGTTAGCACACAGGTACAAGAAGAAGACAGAAGGTATTCAGAGTAATGAGAGCCAAGGCGTAAGGTGAAAGTGTTGGGAAAATCCCAGATTTTATGTACCTGAAAATAGAACAGAGCAAAGAGGACAAGAACTGTAGAATTCATGACACACTCAATTAAAGTGAAAAGGAAGAAGTGACCTAAAAAGTAGTATACTGACGCCTCTGATACACACTGAAAAAAGACCTTCAACCTTTGTCGTAATCTGGTCTGCTTTAGCCGGCCTTTGCCAAACCAAACCCTGATGACTGCCTCACAGCAGTGACAATGCTTTTATAGTTTCTACCTGAATCTGTCCGGTCTGGAGTTTTCATTCCTAGGTTCTGTTTTTAAAACATAAAGCTTATTTACTGACTGCTTTCAGGGCTGTTCTACGTTACTGCTGATATAAACTGACTATTTAGTAACTTCTCAGTGCTCTTACAATCTCCCCTCGTAACAGGCACTTTTTTTAAAACACCATTTGTTTTCCTGGCACATGTGCACACACGTTTGCAGTGCGTACAGTCCCCACGGTCTCACATTTGGGGCTGCAGATGGACATCCCAGGGTCTGTACAGATCCTCATAGTTTTCGGAAGATGATGAAATTTGTGTCACACAAGAGTTCGTAAGGTTTGAAAGTCTACGAGTGCCTGCGTAGACCTGTCTGCAGACGTGCAACCTGGAATTTGTGTGTGTGAGCCACTGTGTTACAAGGGCAATAGTGCAAATGCTTGTAATACATACATAGGACTGACTGTGCAAGAGGCCTTCCGTGAACCAAAAAGTTGTATAATAGCAACAACTATGCATTCATGTCTGCAGCTGTGTGTGTGTGTAGCACTTGAGTATAATAAAAGCTTGAGGATTAAAAGTTTTCAATCTTGGCTAGCTCTGGTAATTGTTGCAGTCGATTGATAAACACTGCAGCCTCAAGGTGAGAAAATGCTTCTCAATTGTCATTTGGTGATTCAGCTAGCTTTCAAAGGCTCAAGTCGATGTATCTATATATGACTATAAATGCATTTTGCAGTGGCAGTAAGCACTAAAAATATTCTAGACAGATAAAGTTTGTGAGACAGTACTTCGTACGTGGACATGTTCTGGCTGACCAGCTGGTTCCAGCAGCTGGACTGCAGTGAACATATCACTGCATCATGTATGTATTTATTAGGTTTGCCTTTTAATTCATATAAAACCGATACGACTCAATTCCACTGTGAGGAGGGATAAGTCAGGCTTTGTATCTATACAGTTGCATTACATTTCAATGTCATGTTTCAAAGGGTAAAAAAACAAAACAGAAACATATGAAGGAGGAGTTCCGAGACACTTACTGTACTGGCTCTCCTTAACAGGGAAATCCTTGACGGAAACTGTGGAGTCTTTGTCCATACGTATAGAGAGGACTTTTTTCTGCAGGCTGGTTGACTTCCTCACCACGAATGTCTGCAAGTCAGGGGGAGGAAACATCCCATCAAAACATTTACTTCAGTGTTTGCAGACACCATTCTTTATTGAGCTCTGCAGGCTCAAATGTTTTTCATTAAAAAAATCAACAATACAGCAAAGAATGTCAACATCTCCACTGTACCAATGTACAGTTGTGAACAAAAGTTTACACACACTCGTTTATCTTAGTCTTGAGTTTCCAATGAGTCCTGTAACATGGTTTTCTATAATGGAATCATTGAAACACATGCATCCCCTTACAAGTGTATGTCAACTTTAGTTCACAACTGTATACAGTGCTGTGAAAAAGTACGTTCCCTCCTACAGACAACTTCTATTTTTGCATATTTGTCAGACTTAAACTAATTTTAATATAAGAGAAAGATAACCCAAGAAAACACAAAATGCAGTTTTTAAATGTGATTTCATTTATTGAAGGAAAAAAATCTGTCCAGCCACTGTTCCTTATGTGAAAGAGTAACTTTAACTACCAATCTACCAAATGACCAAATTCATTTGGTATTTGGGTTCAATTTCACCAGCCACACTCACGTATGATCACTGTCAGGCTTACTGAATCTAAATATCCCTTAAATAGAACCTGTCACACATTGTGAAGTAGTTAAAGGGTCTCAAAAAGCAGCACATGATGCGGCGTCCTGAAGAGATTCAAGATTCAAGAATGTGAAACAAAGTCATTTATCATTTAACATTCAACATTTAAAAGTCTGGAAAGGGTTACAAGGCCATTGCTAAGGCTCTGGGAGTCCAGCGAACCACAGTTAGCGCCATCATCGACAAATGCAGAAAACATGAAACGGTGGTGAACCTTCCCAGGAGTGGCCAGCCTACCAACATTTCTCCAAGAGCATGCCAACATCTCATCCAGGAGATCGCAAAAGAACCCAGACGAACATCAAGAGATCTGCAGGCCTCACTGGCCTCCGTAAAAGTCAATTACATGATTCCACAATAACGAAGACACTGGGCAAGAATGGAATCCATGGAAGAATTGCAACATGCAAACCACTCCTGACCAGAAAGACCATGAAGGTTCGTCTGGCATTTGCAAATAAAATATCTGGATGAGCACCAAGACTTTTGGAATAACATCCTGTGGACTGACGAGTCAAAGGTGGAACTTTTTGGAGGACATAGATCCCACTAGATCCGGCATAAAGCTAATACTGCATTCCACAAGAAGGACATCATGCCAGCAGTGAAACATGGTGGTGCTAGTGGATGGTTTGGGGCCGCTTTGCTTCCACTAGACCTGGACAACTTGTCATAACTGATGGAGCCATGAATTCTGCTCTCCATCAGAAAATCCTCCTGGAGAATATCCGCCAATCAATTCATGACCTAAAGCTCAAGCACAGCACGACAATGACCCAAAGCACACAGCAAGTTTACCTCTGAATGGCTCAAAAAGAACAAAACTAAGGTTTTGGAGTGGCAAAGTCCGGACTTAAATTGAGATGATGTACAAGACTTTAAAAGTGCAGTTCATGCTTAAAAACCACCCAATGTGGCTGAAATAAAACTATTCTGCAGAGAAGAGTGAGCTGACAACCTCCATGGCCATGTAAAGACTGATCTCAAGCTATCGCAAATGTTTAACTGCAGCTGTTGGCTGCCAAGGGTGGCCCAACTGGTTCTTAGGCTTACGGGGGCAATTACTTTTTCACAGGAGTTATATAGGTTTACAATAAATCATCATGTAAAAACTGCATTATGTGGTTTGTGAGCTATCTCTGTCTGGATGATTTGGGAACACTTTTTCACAGCACTGCATGTATTTGTAGTGATGCACTGTGTATTTATTACTATCTGTAAAAAACAGACAACATATCAGATTTATGAGATCACTAGGAAGGTAGGTGCAGTGGTACATTTGCTTGATTTCTGAATGTTCACCACAGAACACAGGCCTTCATTTACCAGGAAAATGTGTTTTGAATGTTGTGTTTTTATAGGCACGCTGTACTTATTAACTGAATTACTCCTTTTCAGAAAAGAAAAAAACTGATTATGAAAGCAGATTTCTAAGTATGAGTAAAGCATTCTGGCAAAAATGTGAAAAGCTTAAATTATTTCTGCTTTAGTGTTTTCAGAATGTCAAATCCTGGAAGGCAAAGCGAAACCAGAATAGGATTGAGGCCGTAATACTTCCAGTCTACTGTGATGACACAGTCCTGTGTCAGTGATTGTAAACTCCCACTCTGATGTCAGTACTCTGTCCATCTTCGCTTTCAAAATCATTCATATTAATGCTGCCTGTTAAGGATCTGGCCATCAGAGGTTCTTCACTTCCCACTTTCACCTAGTGTTGCTTATAGGAAATGGTTGTGTTTCTCTCTAAGTCAAAATATTATAAGATTTTCACTGTACTATGTGAAAGTCCCTGAGATGGCTTATGTTGTAAAGTGCTGCTATATAATAAAACTGAATTATACTGAAATCTGAGTCAAATGAAATCCTGTTTACAAAGCTGTTTGAGACTTTCAGGTAAACAGAAACATATTGAGTTCAATGGATTATGTGTAATATTTATGCAAAAAAGAAAATAGCTAATTTGAGATAGATGCTCCATTGTTTACTCACTCCTGCGGGCTGGTTCTGCAGGATATGTGTGGCATCCTGGTGGCTGAGGCCCAACTGGAGCCACACAGCATGCGTATGGACCAGCCTGTCCAGAACGCTGAGCCGCCGGTGGAGGGAGTCGTAGCCTGAGTCTCTTGCTCCAGCCAGTCCTGACCCGACCCCAGCACAGGGTGAAGCCTGTAGGAAGAGACCTCCAACTTCTTCACCCAGCCTGAAAATGAAAAGGCAGTGTGAGAATTATGTAGTTCATAATGTTAATACTGAATGTTGCAACAAATACAAATGCTCTTCCGATTTCAGAGTACGTCCGATGTGATGGGAATATTCCATCCATCCATTATCTATACACCGCTTAATCCTCATTAGGGTCGCAAGGGTGAGCTGGAGTCTATCCCAGCTGACTCAGGGTGAAGGCAGGGGACACCCTGGACAGGTCGCCAGTCTATCACAGGGCTACACTTAGAGACAGACAACCAAGCACACTCACATTCACACCTACGGACAATTTAGAATCACCAATTAACCTCAACATGTTTTTGGACTGTGTGGGAGGAAGCCGGAGAACCCGGAGAGAACCCACACTGCACACGCAGAAAGATTCCGGTGCCCCCACCGGGACGCGAACTGGCAACCTTCTTGCTGCGAGGCAACAGTGCTACCAACTGTGCCGGGAATATTCCGGTTTATCAAAAAAACAAATAAATAAATAAAACATTTGGGCAAAATGAGAGCAAGGGGAAATGTGGGAAAAACAGTGTTTTAATTGTTTGAGGCAGACTTTATAGTTATTGGAAAATACAAAGATTAAATCTACCACACGTTTCTATTTTCACAAAAAGACTCTTGGAAGCCACAATAGAACACATGAATGTATGTAAGTACAGAGACATTCTCTCTTGTTCTTGTACCCAAAGATGAATGGGCATTCACCGAGAAGAGTTTATGTCGCTCATTTACCCTGTAATTTGTGCAGAAAAGGGAATAAATACAAGAAAAGGGAAGCTGAAGATGTGCTTCACAGGAAGGTAAACATGAGGTGAGCTGTGGCTCTGCACTAAAACCACATAAAACAAAATAATAAGCAGTTTCCAACTTTTATAGCACAGTGCAGTTTGTCATTAGCACAAGTGATGCCAACTGTCTTGACGGTAGCTGTTAAAATCAAACATATTTAAAAATGAAAGTTAGGAGGATGACAGGCTATGACTAGATCAGGGAAGAAACTGCTGCATCAGCACACACGTACATAAAATATCGGAACCACAGTTGGCTCAGTTTCTTTAAATCAGCAAACTTGCCCAAATCATTTTGACAATCCACTCAGTAATTATCATGTGTTCTGCCGTGAGTCACCCTTTCAGAAATGCTAGATTTAGCTCTGCTGCCCCAGCAATATTTTCCTGTCTGAGTTTTGTATCGTACAAGTTATAAAGGTGTTTTCAGACTGAGGTGAGGTATACAACTCAATAGAAAGACACGAGAGGAAGCAAATGGCTGTGGGTAGGTGATGCAAGGTGGTGCAAAGACATGTCTGCTCAAGTTCATAGTGTTTTAACTTGAAGGACAAATAGCAGAACTGCAGGAACATACAGAGACAGCAGGACAAACTGGAAAGTCTGGAGAAAGTGAGTAAGTTCCTAATAAATTTTGAAATCCAGCCCAAGCATTCCTGCACATACAATGATGAAACTCAAACTTAATGATGGGTTTCATTCATTTGTAAGCAGCATTTCACAGGTATCCAACATATATACTTTTGGAACGTTTCAATTTGTACAACCTGTAGACGGGACATATGTGTTTCTCATACTTTACAAGACCACTGTGCAGGATTAGATCTGTTGTATACTCACCAGAAAATGAAAAAAAAAGCACAAAAAATGGAAGTCAGCCAATGCCAGGTTGGGTGAGTAAGGTGCATGGGGCAACAGGTTGTATAGTTCCCTTCAGGCCGTGTTGCACTGGAGGAACAGCACGGCAGCTTGAAGCTTCCCTCTCCTTCTTTCTTTAAATGCTTCAAACATTTGAATTTGTGTGGATAGTGATCTGAGGCTTTACAGTATACAGTTATGCCACAAAATGAGAGCTACACCTCTTGTTTACAGCTGAGAGTTATGATAAGTACCATTGTGGGAGGTTTCTGAATGCCTGTTGGTAGCTCTATAAACATACATCATATCTAATAAGCTCATTACATGTTTTTCACGTAAAATGCTGTCATTCCTACTGAAACTGCCAACTGCAGCTGCCAGATACATGCAGAAGTCTAATTATTTCCCTTTGAACTGCAGTAGAACAGAACCACTGCTAGATCATTCTCCTAAGGAGCCAAACGTTTCCTTTCTCCTGTTGACCCCCACTCAATCTGTCAGTTTCATTATTTCCTCAGGCACCCAAAGTAAGAGCCAGCGTTTTAGAGGTGCAATGACAGGTTGATTAATTATTATTCAGCTAACAGGAAAGTAATTGTCAACAATTCGGTGAGTGATTAATCATCAATTTCAAACAGAAATGTCCCAAATTTACAATCTCCAATGTGAAGATCTGATGGGTCTACAGTTTTATGAGAGTAAACTCAAAGTTTTGACTGTTGTCATATTAGGAAAGTTTTCACTACTTACTGACAATTCATACACTTTATCACTTTTTATTCATAGTGAAAATAATTTGGTGGTTGCAGGCAATCCTGCTATTATGGAAAAGTACATCTTTTTCAAAAGGTTTTCAAAAAATGTAAAATAATTTGATAAAAAGACAGAAGGAGAATGGTGGGTCAAACTTAAATGACATTGTACTTCAGTGTTAAAAACTGTTGCACAAATTGTTGATTAATCAAATTATGTACCCTCAGATAATATGGAGTAAATCTGGCTGTCGGACTACTTTGGCCATTGCAGGCTTTGTTCAGTTGGTAATGCTAATTTGAGTCAAAAGTGACCTGGTATAAATGCAAATACAAGGACACTTCTGGGCCTTTTTCGGAAAGAAGGAGTTTAACTCACATTTTGAGGCATAACCGTACCACAAAGCCTTATATCACTGTCCACAAAAACTCAGATGTTAGTGGTCATTCCACTGCAAGGAAAGGAAAGCTTCAAGCTGGTGGGCTGCTGCTCCAGGACAATGCATCATCCACACTGTACAGGTGGCAGAAGCAGCTAAATGTGGCTTTGAACTGTTGCCCCATGAACCTTACTCACCCCCTTATGTGGTTGCCATTTTCAGAGTGTTGATAAAATGATCCGTGCTGTTGAGGAGTATCTGCAGGTTAATTCAGTGAGTTTAACATTCATAATTCTGAACTAGATTAATGAAATGGAATTTATGCCAGTCTACCTCACACTGGCAGCTAGCTTTTTTCACACTTCATCAACACCGAGTAGGTACTTTCTGAATTCTGCAGAAACCCTATTGACCATCTTACACCAAGGGATAGCGAAGCTTGACCACCGTTGGAAGGTGAAGAGTAATGCAAGAATAATCTTTCTCCTGTGACATTTTCTGTTGAGGCCAAGAACTTTTTAAAGTACCCTCACAAGTGTACTTAGTTATTCTAGTAACAGTTAGAATTCTTCCACCTTTTCAACATGCATGGACTTGCCCACACACAACGGTAACACTAGCTTTCACATGTGTAGGCAGCACTAATGTGATAATGAGTCAAGAGGCAAACATGAATGTTAAAAAAAAAATAAATAAAAAATCTAATGAGCCTAGAGTAATTTGTTGAGTTCAACATTCATAATTCTGAAACAGACTGACAAACAGGAATTCATGCCAGTCTACGTCACGCTGCCCGCCAACATTTTTCACACTTCCTCAACACCTACTAGGTACTTTCCGAATTCTACATAAACTGTGTCTTAGAGAAAAGGAACTAATCATCAGATGTTCCCACTCAACATTCCAGCTAAGGTATTCAACTTGAAATTATGCACATCAACATCATGTCTATCATTATTACCTTGCAGTGTCAGATTGCATGAAGATCAAGTTTTTCTACAGTATATACATCTAGCTTCAAAGACGAGTGGGAAACAAGAGTTTTCTAACCACTTGTCTGATGTCATGCTTTCTTCTGATTCTTGACAGGGCTCGATGACAGCTTTGTGCCATGATCTGTTTATCACATTTTAACCAGCTGCAGTATTTAAGGTCTGTCAACAGTGCTCTCTGCTGGTAGCCACAGAGAACTGCATAAGATTAAAGCTCACACAAGACCAAACGTCAATAATGGATGGAGGATAGAAAAGTATGTACATGCACACGAAAGCACACACACTATCACAACCAGAAACTGTCTAACATACAGACACAGTATGACCTCACCCGAGGAGTGTATCTGTCTTTTGGTCTCCGTCAGCAGACTCAATCTTTTTCCCCATCTCCTTCTTCAGAGTGCCAAGTTCCCAGGCAAACGAGTCAATCAGCTAGAAAGACACAAACACAATGACGTATTGTATTTAAGAAAAATAACAGAGCACAGGTCAGTTTTAACAGACAAATATGTTTATCTGTGGAAGGTGTTTATATTGTCTTTAATGTGGTATGAACTACTTTTGAAAGAATCAATTTGAGCGTGGCCTATAAAGGGGGGAAATGTTGAAAAATGAAGAATTTTTGACCTTTTAAAGGCTGCTTGAGGATTCAGACTTGGTTTTGGGATTATGTTGGAATCATATGAACAGTGTAGTAAGGATAAGGGTTGAGGATAAGCATTATATTGTTAAGGGAATGCATTTTGTCAGAGTTCTTGCAAAGAGAAGTACAAGTACAAACATGTGCGCATGTGAGACAATCTACCCCCGGCCTAACCACTTCCTACTGACACTACTTCCCATTGACTAACCAAAATTATTACAGAGGAAACAATTCATAAAAGCATGTCTGTGAGTAAACCTTTATGTACAAAACAGTCTGACTGGGATGGCCACCGTCAGAAATCACAGGTGACACAGAAGTTAGCCTGTTTAGTGTTCAAATCTTCAGGAAAACTGATAAAACAATTGCGAGATGTACTGGTGATAGATAAATTATCAAGACAATAAGAAAACAGTTTGACTGAATTTTCAATAGTTTTACTGAAATTCATCAGCTGCAAATCACAATGGAAGCACATCACAAAAGCCTATAAACAGCCAGACATATCCCCTGATACTGGATCCCCCTTCCCCCTCTGTGACTCTTCCCTTGACTTCCATGCAGTTCTCCCAAGGCATGTTAGGCCACTGCCACCTAGGCCTATTGTTGCCTCAATCTGCAGATGGAGACCTCCCCAGATGGAGGCTGCAGCCAGCAGGGACTGGCGGTTGCCCATGCAACAGATTAAAAATACCCACTGCCCTATATCTCCCACTACTTCCACCTGAGCGAAGCACTCCCAGCGGCCTGCTTTGAGAGCTGACAAATTTGACATCGAGGGCGTGCATAGGCCGGTTCCAACCATTTTGAACCTTAACCTCAGTGCAATGTTCAGCTTCTGTTCACCCTCAGATTTCACATGCTTTCTTGATTGAAACTGTATTAAGGTAAGGTAATTTCTTTTGGCTTATTTATTTCTGCCTTTGTGTGTAAATGTATTTCTTTGTGTGTGTTTTTCACCATCTTAATAAAATATTTTGCTACGTTACTTGATTAATAGGCTACGATATTTCACGCGAAGCTTTTTGACTGTATCATCCAGGACAAGCGTCAAAAAAGCGTTTTTTTGGATTAGATTAATTTGAAACCAAATCTTTACAATTGGTTTGATCAGACAATGCACAAAAATTCTGGATTTAGGTAATAAAAGTATGGAGGTTTTCCATCTCAAATGCTTCAAATGATCTAGCAAATTTCACCAGATCTTTAAAGAGGACAAACCAGAAACAGTGCTTTTTACCAGCATGTTGACCGCAGTGAAATGTTGAGTTAAAAACCCAAGGGAAGAGTAGCATGCCAATTCCATAATCTCACTGTGTGCAGCCTCAGTAGTTCAACATCCTTAAATGCATCTTCTCTTGAAACTACTAAACAATATTCTTGTAAGAGTACTGGCAGTCAATTTTGTTTTGTAAGCTGTTCAGTTAATTACATAGACTTAGACACTGGAATGCTAGAAAGTTCTATCTGGACTCCTGTGTTGCATAATGTCTAACACATGATTTCACAAGTATGTGCTCCTTTAGATGACCGAAAAGGTAAGAAACTAACTTTTTGTTGTGTGACTGAATGATCTAAAAAAACTCTGCAGACCCTTTTAGATTGTAATTCTTCCTTTTCTTTTTGGTCTGGAGCATCAGAAACCTTTCTTTGGATGCTTCTTCCAAAGTCTTCACCATACTCCGAGTTGCTGTAGCCTACTGTCACTATGGTTGCCCTCTTCTTCAAGTCTGGCAAGTCTGACAAACCAATCCCTACTTGTTAATTTAAAACCTCACTACTGGTGAACCAGTGCAGTAATGACTAGGGGTGGGAATCACAGGGTACCTCACGATACGATATGATACGATACGATACGATACGATATGCGATACATGGCTCATGATACCGATACTATCACGATTATGCAATACTACGATAACAAAGATACATCACAATATCTGTAACTGATAAATACAAAATGCCTGTAAAAAGGTTAAGGTCAGCATTTATTTATTTATTAACTGCAATTTGGTGTCACTGGATTTGACACAAATTTGGATGAACCACATAACAAAAACTGCCTATAGTCTTGCCATAGGCCTCTTGTACAAACCCACTGACTGCAACTTACCACTAATGTCCATATGTGCCGTCACATTTCTTTATAAAAGGCAAATTTTTTTTAAAAAGGTGCTTTAGTGCATAACCAACTAGTGTGTGTAAACTTATACACATTTTATGCTTGTTTTGTGTATATCTGGACAGATTTTATGGTCTATCAACCTGTATTGTGAACCTGGAACATTTCACGTGAGACTGGGTTGCTCTTACGGCAGCGTTGCTGTCCACCACTATACCAGTACAAACTCTTCTTTGGCCAATTCATTTCCGCTCAAGTCTCCCTCATTCATGTGATTAACGCCACCGTGTGGAGTCATTAAGTAGTGACACTTGGAAAATGGTAGCCAGCAGGGGAATCTGGCAGGGTTTCATTTTAATATATTATTGGAAAAATAATGCACTCTAGCTTTAAATAAAGCAAATACAGCAACGGCATCAGACTTGATGTAGTACAGGATTTTTTTTTCAAAGATTGATGTTGCTAAAATATAAAATATTTTACGGTCACTTTGAAAAATTCCAGCAGCACTTAACAGCAGAGATCTCCATTTCAAATGACACATGCTTTTGCACAATATCAAAATCTACTGCTGGCCATGTCTTCACCCTGTGGTAGCTGTCCGAGCATTGCTACATTTACTACCTTGAACTTCTCCAATGGTTCTGAGTAAGCTTTTCTAAAAACCACTCACAAGACAACAGATATGACCCTGACTCAACCTTAGACTGACTTTATTAATCACAGAGGGAAATTCAGTTGTTACAGCAGCATGTATATTCAACAAAGGGGGGTAAACAAAGCAAAAAGACAATACAGAATATTAGGGCAGGGTATAAAATGAAGGTAAAATAAAATAAGATTAGAAAAAGGCGGTTTTGGTCTAAAAATTGAACAGGACAGTTTATCTCAGACAACTGTTTCATATGAACACTACTTAATACGCAATTATTTTCCTGGATTTTGACTTTTGATCATTTTCAACGTGACACTGATGTCATTTGTTTCATTTCCCATTTATCTGTCTAGCTGGTCAGTGTTTCTTGTTGGGTAACCTCACATTCACAGTTTTCACAGGATGAGGAAACATGTGGCTAAGCTGTTTCAGAGGAAATTACACGCTTTGACCCATTGAGCTTTTTAAAAGAAGGTTCACAACCTTAAGCACTTCCAGCAACAGGGTCACTTTCTGAATAAAGCCACTGATGCCAATTTGTATTATGGACGGGAAACATTGGTTTGACGTCTTTCTCTGCAGACATATCCACTCAGAGATGCATTAGATTTCAAGGATTGGAATTGCATTTGATTTACAGGAACTAAAGAAGACTAAAGAGAGAAAATCATTTACTAAAGCACACATTGTGAGTATAGTAACACAAGAGCAGTAGCTGAAAAACTATTATATATACGAGGCATGTCAGAAAAACTTTAGGACTGGTGTCAGTCACAAAAGATATATTTCAAATCCAAGTTACAAACTACAAGTTTTCCCCTTCGAAGTAATCCCCCTGGAGTCTAACGCACTCCCCCAGCCTTCTCTGCCACGCCACCATGCACTCCTGGAAGGATTCTTCTGGGATCCTCCACAGCTCCAACTTCACAGCCATCTTGATGTTGTCCATGTCTTCAAAACAGGTCTCCTTGATGACCCCCTTGAGCTTGGGGAAGAGAAAAAATCAAACGGAGCCAGGTCGCGTGAGTAGGGAGGTTTCTCCAGCATGGCGATGTTCTTCTCAGCCAGGAACTGTCAGATGCTCAGGGCATTGTGAGCAGGTTGTCATGGTGAAGCAGTCACGACTTGTTCTGCCACAACTCTCGCCTTTTCTTGCGCACTGAACGAAACAAACGCTGCAGAATCTCTTTGTAGCCGTGCTGGTTGATCGTCTGAAGGGGAAAACTAGTAGTTTGTAGCTTGGGTTTGAAATATATCTTTTGTGACACCAGTCCTGGAACTTTTCTGACACACCTCGCATTTGTCAAGGACACTGCTGACACAAAATGGCATATAGTAGGACTGCTGAAAACTCCATACAGTTTCTACAAGCAGTAAAACTACCTTGAACTAACAAGATCATCCTTCACACATAATGTACAAAGTACGCATTGTTGGCAATAAGACTGGTCACCTGCCAAAGAGGGTAGAATGAACATCAGGAAAAAGGCTAATTGCACTCACTTTTTATGCTGTGTCAAGATCCATAGCTGGTGTCAACTTTTTAAAGTATTTTAGCATCTAACATTGCACTATAGATATAAAAAAAATGGTATAGAGATATCAGCTACTGTGCTGTGGGACAACACGATGTTTGCTGTGACAGATAATATACTTGAGTTACCTTCAATGCTTATCATATCTGTGATATTTTTTACATTAGCAACAGCAATTGGACAGCTGATTCTAGTTTTGTCGATGGTATCAGGTTTTAGGCAATCTAATGTATCTGTTCTTTGCTGCCCTGCAAAGGCAAAACACAGCGATCCAAACTTTGTCAAAATTGGGTTATAACTGCTGTCTGACTCACTGATCTGATAAGGTAGTATAGTAAAGGGATGTTAGATACAGCGCAAGGATCAGAACTAAGGTTACTTTGTATTATATTATAATTTTAAAAATATGACATGGGCGCCGCTGTAGCTCACCTGGTTGAGCTGGCGTCCCATGTACAGGGCTACAGTCCCAATGTGGAGGTCATGGATTCGAATCCCGCTCATGACCCTTTCCCACATGTCTTCCCCTCACTCTTCACCCCCACTTTCCTGTCTCTCTCTCACTGACCTATCAAATAAAGGCACAAAGGCCAAAAAAAAAACTTTATATCATGAAATTTTGAAAAAACTAGTGGTTTTTCCCAGCAAGTTGGTTTGTATTCTTGTAATGATCATGAATACATTTTGTTGCATCACCCCATGAAAGCAAATGGAACAAAAAGAAGTGCAATTTCTCAGCAGTGTTACTCATATATGTGTCCTCATGTGGGTGTGTATTTTAATAAAACAGTAATCTGTGACCTGGGTTTATGTGTGTGGGTGTGTACATGTATATATGTGAGTGTGTGTGTGTGTGTGTGTGTACATACAGATCAGAGGTCTGTCCCTGAACGGACAGAATGACAGTCTGCTATCACAAGTAAACAAGCAAAAGAGTCAAGAAAAAATAAATAATAATAATAAATTACAAATATAATTGTGATTTAACAGTGAAAATAATTTATGTAATTACAATTCCATAACTGGAAGTGATCCCTTGACTTGCAAACATAAAGAAATAAAACACTGAGATAAGAGTTGATGACAGTTGTAAACAGCATCTTAATGACAGTTGTGATATCTGGAGTAAGTCACATTTTAGGAAAAGTTTGTTCAATAAGACATATGTTGCATAATTACTGAGGTGTTGACATGTTGAATGAATGTGTTTTCATCATTGTATGATATCTATAAGCTTTGGGAATTTGACTTGATACTGTTTTTATCCTTACGTATATCATCGATCTCCCTATTTATTGTATAAGTTTGTGTACACACACACACGCTTCATTTATTGGTAACCTTATACAAAAAATTCTAATGACAGTTGATATGATCATTGAGCATCATATTCAGAATTTCTTAAGCTGGTATAGTGGGAAAATTTTCCCTATTTGTCATGGTCTGATAAATCTGATGCATTATACTAGTCCTTCCCTAAAAACAAATGGTGAGAAATGCAGGAGGAACTGAGCTTCTACAATTCTACAATTTCATTTAGCAGACGCATTTATCCAAAGCGACTTACATCTGAGAGCAGATACAACACAAGCAAGGATCTAGTCAGGAGAAAACAATCTAGATAAGTGCCACAGGAAAAAACAAAAAAAACAAAACACAGAGCTATTCCCAGGCCAACTCCACCTCTCTCCTCATCCTCTTTAATCTTGCCCACGAGTTAGCCTGTAACTGGTAGGTTTGCTGCCCCCCACCCACATCCCCCTCCCTGGAGCCAGAAGTGTCTGCAGCCATGCCTTGAACCTTCACATACACTACACTGACTGCAGCTCAACAGAACAATGACAGTTCTGTTTGTAAAAAAAAAAAAAAAACATCCCAAGGAGAGAGAAGTGATTGTAAGTACTCGAGTGAAACGCACCTTGAAGAAGCTGCCCTTCCTCTCCTGCTTGCAGGGTTGACTGATGACACTGGTAGACATGTTGTCTCTGTGGTCTTCTCTGTCTGTCTCTGTCTGCTGAAGTGCCTGGGAAGGAAAAAAAAACATTAGAAATGTGTAAAAAAAAAAAAAAGACACAAGACCCCTGACGATCAGTCTCCAGGGGGGGCTTGTGAAGACTAAAGGGGTTTGAAAAAGCTCTGTCTCCCAATCCTATATTCTCCTTTTCTTCTTGCTTTTTTTGTTTGTTTTGAAACTAAAACTGGATGTGTATCAGAAGGGGGGAAAAAAGACACAATATAAAACACCCTGCCAGCATCACAACAAGAACACTAGTTTCTGATGATCTCTTCGAAACTAAAATTGGTTTCCAGGAAATTAAAAATGCCACATGCCCTAACAATTTTATCTCAAGGTCTTTTAAAAAAAAGCCCCAGGACAGCTACTTAAGCTGTTTTTTTCCCTACAGGAACATAATAACCTGTAAAGTAAGGATCAACTGATTATTAAGGACAGCTTTTGGCTTCTTACGTTCATCGGTGTTGTTATTTTCATTGGCTGATTATCAATTAAGGTAAATGTGCTCTTTGGGATCAAATGCAGCCATCTCTCTCTTTCTCTCCAATCATTTTGTTGTCTCAAGCAATGTCGCACCCACAGCACGATCTGATTGGTTGTTCCACCTCCGAAGTAGCAGCATATCACTGAAAGTTTTGGTGAATTAGCGGAGCTGTGTCTGGAAGTCGAGGTAGCAGACACTACAGAAGTTGGAGTAAACACAACAGTGTTACACAAGCATGCTATACTTCTCTATTTGTACATATTCAGCTACAGTAATCATTATTAATGACGTAGCCTAGCTATAAATGACAGGTTTCTTGCTATCATATGCTGTTCTGATATAAAATTTAATGTATATCTACAGTAGTCCTTAATAATGAACAAACAAAATTATGAATGACATGTTCCCTGCTATCACAAACTGTTAATAAATAACTTGTAATATATTTCAACTATGATTTTCAGGTGTCTGCCTGTCTCGATCACCAATAATTAATATCGACATAGAGCCTGAAAAAACACATTGGTCAGTCTGTACTGTAAACAAGTGCTTCTCTCGTCGTTGATCATGTCTGGATTTTTGTTTTTCTGCTGTTGCAAACACGGGCGGAGACAAGAGGTGGTGGCCCTGGCCATCCCTCTGGCCAGCCCAAACAAACCTAGTGAAGCCTGATAGAGGGCTACGAATAGAACTGGGGTTACATCGAGGTAACAAGATGTGCAAAATGCTGGACAATTTAGGACTCACCCAGAACCTGCAGCTAAAAGAAAGAAACTCATGATGTTTCAACTGGGTACGTGTCCTGAACAGAACATAATTGTCTTGTGGTAAATGGTCTGCACTTGTATAGCACCCTATACCTCACCATAAACCTTTAAAAAGCATAGCTTAAGAAACCATTCAGGATTTTAACCATGTGAGGGTTACGTAAAAAAAAAAGCTTATTATACTGTAACATATGTGCTTGTGTACTTTTGCAAGCCAGTCTTGCCTACAAGCAAATGAGGGAGTGCGTGACCAAAAAACGACTGTTTGGCTGACTGCAATTTGCTGTAAACCAGAATTAACAAAACACTGTGACATTACAATGGGAGTGATGGTCTCATCATGGCCAGTACGATAAAAACTGTCTGGCTCCACCACTGGTTGCACTGTCACAGTATGAGCTAAATGCTAATGTTGGTATGCTAACATGCAGTAATGCCAGCATGCTGATGTTAAGCAGGTATAATGTTTTGTTATCATAGAATTTAAACATGCTAAGGTGCTAATTATCACAAAGCGCAAAACACAAATTATAGGTGAGGGAAAATGTGGACAAATAACATTTTTGACCTGCTAATAGCCCTGAAAAGTCACAATCTTTTGTTTCGGTTTCATCGTTCCATCTAGTGTGACAACATCATACAGCATCATTGAAACGGCATAATGTTTATAATGAGTGACATTTGAAGCTGAAACTCTATTGCAATAATTGGACATAGTTTCAGCAAAACTCTGACTTGACTTCCAGTTGAAATATATTTCAAGTTCTTTTGATGGATTATAGTCTCAATTAAATATTACACTCTTAGATTTACTGTAGTACATTTAGTCCCACTCTGGTCATTAAAGCCCAAAAACTCTTTAGGATTTAGTGTTGGTATTGCATTATGTTTCAAATCACATCTGTGCAGAACAAAACACAAGCAGCCAAGGCTCACCGAGGCTACTGCTGTTAATGTTAAGCACAACTTTATAGCCAAACTATGAGGAATGCTCATGAAAATAATTGGGTCCCAAGCAATACACTGGCCAAGTGAGAAGTAGATCCGATCATGTTTGTCAAGAAAAGCAAAGAACAGACATACATGCATACAGAGATTCCTTTAGTTATGACTGACAATAGATTTCCCATTGTCAGGCACAGATAAGTAGATACATACACTGAAGGGGTATTTATGCTCTCTAGGTTTCAGATGGAGCTCTATTACTTCACTCAAACAGTAACAATCAAAGCCGACTCATTGTGTTTCATCCAAAACGGCTTATGGTTTTACAACAACAGAGGTAAAACACGTGTGCACACATACACACAGGCACACTTGACCCAGATGTTGTGGTGGATCCTGTTACAGCAGATGATAAGTCCCAGCTGTGTCAAGGCATAAAAAAAAATCCCAGACCTTCCTTTTAAGAAACACATGAGTAAAAGGAAAACACCATCAGCATCTGTCTAATGACCCGACATCCTTTCCGCAGACGCTTCAACAACAGTGCTTGGACAAAAGATTGTTGTGAAAGCCAACATCTTGTGAGTATTGTTGGACAGACAAAGTGTTCGCAGTTTGACTCAGTGGAGTGAGTAGAAGGGAAACCTGCTGGACATCAACTAAAAAGTTACCTCTGGAATTCTTTTGATCCCTGATCTAGATAGGCACTCTGGACATACAGACGTTCAATACACATAAATATAAATGCTCTGCACTATTATAGGACCTTTTAACCACACTAGGTTCTACAAAGCCCTTTACAATGTGTTTCTCATTCTCAGACACTTACACACCAATGTTACCAGAGCTGCCACTTGGGTTCAGTAATTTGCCCAAGGACACGGCAAGAAATCAACCTTGTAATTGGTGGACAACCTGCTCTACCACCTGAGCCATGGCCATCCCACCCTGGGAATTGGTAAAAATAAATAAATAAATAAATTGCTTCACGTCTAATGGAAATAAAATGTTGTCTCTGCTCCAGACAAGAAGTCCCAAATGGTCACTTTGTCTTGGGCTCTCCATAGTCTAGGATCACCACTTTCTAGGTGTGTACACTTGACCTGCACTCAAAAAAATGTAAATTACATGTAAATTCTCTTTATTCTTCATACAAACGGGTAACGTTCACCCTATGTTGGAAACCATGCAGACATTCAAAAGATTATGTTCTGCTTTCAATTTTGATATGCTATAGGTCTACTTCGTGAAATGATAAAGACTTGAGATTTATTCAAAAGCAAAGCCAGAGCGTCAAAAAAGGGTAAAAGAATAAGGAAAGACGTGACTTTGGAGAAATTTGATCTTTTGTCATAAGGACATTACTTTGGTACGTACTAACATGTAGCAAACACAACTACAAAGATGATAAATCTGGCATTATTGTAGTTGACGACGCAAGCAAAAATGCTGCACCAGCCACCATTACCCAAACTTCAGAGGAATTCCAAGTGGTGCATGACAGCAACTTTGATGATATCTTTTCACAACTAGAATATGAATTTAAAAAACTATGTCACTAAGTGATATTGATAACACCACAGCTGGTCTAAACATGGGCTGCAAGGTGACGCAGTTGGTAGCACTGTTGCCTCACAGCAAGAAGGTCGCCGGTTCGCATTCCGGTGAGGACAACCGGGATCTTTCTGCATGGAGTTTGCATGTTCTCTCTCCGGGTTCTCCGGCTTCCTCCCACAAGTCCAAAAACATGTTGAGGTTAATTGGTGATTCTAAATTGTCCGTAGGTTTCTAAGTGTAGCGCTGAGATAGACATGTCCACGGTGTCTCCTGCCTTCGCCCTAAGTCAGCTGGGATAGGCTCCAGCTCCCCCACGACCCTCGTGAGGATTAAGCGGTGTATAGATAATGGATGGATGGTCTAAACATGAGCTGTTTTCTGAGGTTGTACAATTAGTATTTCATTTATTTCAAGAGAAGTTTCCAAAATGTGGCACCTAAACAAGGGTATCTAGCTAAAAACATGCAAAAGAAAGAAAAGAACTGCTTCTTTGCAGCATGTTCCAGTAAGCGAGACCTTCAAAGCACTTTTGAACTATGACTCAGTCAAAGCACAGTACACTGAAGCAAATGCTCACTCAGATGAATCACATTTGCTGTAGGATAAAAGGGATGGCAAGAATTTAAAGACAATGACATTTTTCAGCAGTGAATGTCCTCAGCGTCCATTATCTTGTGTCGGAATTCTATTGAAGTGGTAAAGTCCCTTCAGGCCAGGGAGAAAAAAGCAGTCACTTGTTGTTTACAAGTCCCTGTCAGAAATCCCTCTGCATAATAGTCCTCTATAGACTTCATACAGCTTGTTGTGCTTTGTGAGGAGACAAATGTACAGTCTTTTGGGTCAGACAAAGTGTTTTGTCCTCTTGTAAGAGATCTGAAGGATCTTGAAGAATCAGTGTTTGACCTGGACAGTGTTCAAATAATGCAGGTGGCTGTGCTTGCAGTAGCTGGAGAAAACCTTGACCATGATCGGGGGCTTCACAGAGGACTTAAGAAAAAGTGACATTTTTTGTCACTACTTGGTTATATATAGAAATACTTCAAAAGGTTCCAAGGGAATAAAGCATCCAAGACACAAAGCAAAGTTACAAGAACTCCGGTAACAAGCTTTCCATGATCACAAGACACAAAATCTCATTCTGTATTGAGCAGTCTGAAACACTTCACATGTATGTGACCAAAGACTGCCGCCATGCTTGGGACACAACCTTTTCGATGTGTTATCTAAACAAATCTCTAAGCCTGCTGTTGCAAGAA